GATGAAGGCAAGGAAGGCGCAAGCCGAGGTCTCAGTTGCTGATCTGTGCTCCATCGCCACCCGCGATCGCAGCACCGCTCTTAAGTTTAATGCGTCGGCAATCCTCCAGCGCCTATGATGAAGAACAAGCAGCGGCAGCAGGCGAGAAAAAGGGTTGCGAAGTAGATGGTGCCTCCGAGCAGGAACGCAAAGCGTCTCGTCGTCAGTCGGAGAAAAACTCCTTCAGACAGACACGCGGTAAACAAGGCGCAGGCTACGGCGAGGTTGGGTGCCAGGACGAGGAGGAGGAGAAGCAAGAACGCGATATCCCGTGCGGGTGCGGGCGCTATGCTGGACAGGTTGGGATCGGCGGGGCAGGTGGGGGAAGGCTGCATAGCGCTAGCTCCAGAGCGCTCCGAGGGACTAAGGGAGTGCCGCTTCACAATGTCGTTACCACTTCCTCCTCTTCCCGCTGCTCGTCTTCCTCGTCCCAATCGGCGAAAAAGTCCATGTCGCTCGACGCTTCGAGTGCTCCCCACGCAGTCCCCGATAGACCAACCGCCTCGTGAACCGTGAAAGTTGTCGATCGTGTGTCAGCTTGATGAATAGAACACCCTGTGTTCTATTCTGATATAGTCCGAAGCATGCCCAGCATCCGCAGCCTTCCGATGCAAGCTATCGTTCCTAACCCGCTATTCCTACGTACTTATCGGACGGTCACGAACGAGGAAAAAAGGAAAAAGAAAAAAGGAAAAAGGAAAAAAAGGAAAAAGAAAAAGAAAAAGGAAACAAGAAAAAAGGAAAAAGAAAAAAGGAACAGGGAGAAGGAGAAAGGGAAACGGACAAAAGAACGAAGGAAAAAGGAAAAAGGAAGGGGGGAGGACATCAGGGGTGACCTGGTCCGAGCGCCCGGAACCAACTACGTCCTACCTAAACTCCCAGGCCCGAGCATTTATTCGACCCTTGTCCTTATTCGCCAAGGTCCGAGAGCGAGCCGTTCTCGTGATCCTCTGTCCGCCGATTTCGGCTGCTCAAGGGTACATTCGGGGTTTATTTCCCGGTTTCGATCAAGCTACCTCTGCTGAAAAAAAAGAAAAAAGAAAAAAGAAAAAAGAAAAAAGAAAAAAGAAAAAAGAAAAAAGAAAAAAGGAGGAAAAAAGGAAAAAGTAAAAAAAGGAAAAACGAAAAAAGAAAAAAGGGGGAGGGGGGGGCGGAGGGGTGGGAGAAGAAAAGGAATGAGAGGGGAATGAATATGGGGGCGAGAAGTGAAGATCCGAGGGGGCAGGAGGGGCCACTGAGCCAACCCTCCATCCGGTGTTCATGACTCAGGTCGAGGGGGGAGGGGGAGTTCGTGCGGGCAAGCCCATCCATCTTCCATCTCCTCTTCGACCTGTAAGCATGTGTGTGTGTGTGTGTGTGTGTGTGTGTGTGTGTCCCACCCCGATCCCTCCGGGGGATGACGGGGTCGAGCGGGCGGTTGTCCGGAGAGCAACCGGCCATCTCAGCCCAGTTGTCCCCTGGACACCAGCCACACACGCATGCACAATCACAGACACAGACACAGACACGCACCCATAGAGCAGCGTTAGTCAGAGAAACCGAACATGCGCGTAAGTGCTTCCTTGACCGTGTGCACAGATACCCGACCAGGCTGGTAGCGGTGTACGTTGCGCAGCGTCTTCCTCACCACCCTCCAGCAGGCGTCCCCGGCGAACCCGTTGCTCCTCATTGCAGCTACCACCTTGTTGATTTGCTCGGCCGCGTCATCCAGTTCTGAGCATAGAAGGAGGACCTGCGCAACCTGGGCGGTGATAATCTGCAGCGCCTGCTTGGCGCTTCTATTGGACTTGTATTTCATAAACCTGCAAGGAGAAAAACCCAGCCCTTCGCGTCTGTCAAGTCTGGAGGTTGTGTACGTCCCCGATTCTTGAGAGGTGATCGTGATGGTGGCACAGAGAAAATTGGCTCTTCGTCCGCATCCATCGACGGTGACCTCTGTATTCTCCCTTATCTCGATGTACTCGTCCGGATAGATCCAACATGGATCGTTCTCCTCCCTGTCTTCCTTCCTCCGTACGAAGCTGCTGATGATAGTGTTGTTGATCGCACCCAGATCGTCGATGTATCTGAACGCGTCCGAGAAGAACGGAATCAAGTGTGCATTACCCGTATCCGCCAGTCTCATCATGGCGTGGAATTCGTACTTGAAGAGGTAGACGTCGCACCAGATGGGAGAGCATGCTAGCCCCATAGGTATGCCCTTGACCTGCCTCCACACGAAGTCGCCCATGCGTAAAAGGCTATTGGAAATGCACCACTCCGAAAGCCAAAATACGTCCTGCTCCCTGAATATCATGGAGCCTAATTCCTCCGCCTGGCCAGCGTCCACCCACGAGGGCAGAAACCTGCCATTCGCTCCCCTTCGAATTTGAATGGCGTGGGACGAGCTCCTCTCCCTCTGCACTTGCATCGCGCATTGCACGTAGAATCTCACCGCTGTCGGCAAGCTGTCCTCTGAGCTGTCTGTGGGGATTGCCTCGAAGCACCTCGTGATATCCGCCGTGAAGATAGAGTAGATCTTCTCTTGTAGGTTTGCACAGAACTCTCCCACTGAGGCAGTGGACCACCATAGGTTCGGCTTAACCCCATGCCGCGCCTCCACCTCCAGGCTCCTCTCCAGGCAGAACGTTTGCACTAGGGGGAGGAGAAACCGCAGTAGGCACGCGCAAAGTTCATCCGCATGGGAGACCGCGGTCCCCGCTGTGTTAGTAATCCATCGAAACGTCCCCTTATGCGCCTTGCAGACCGCCATCAGGTACGGGAGCGCAGCATGGGCATCCGGTAACACATGCAGGGAAGACAACTCGCCTTGTATTCTTGTAATGACAGAAGCGGGGGAGGAAGCAATACTCACGAATTCAGGTCCAGTCAGTCTCTGAAAAGCGAGCTTCCGAATGAAATTCTTGCAAACGAAGGTAGGAGTGTTTGGTGCCTTATCCGTTGGACAGATGAGAAAGCGTCTAGTAAGGAATTCTACCTCCCGCTTGACCACAAGGTGCTCAAACGGCTCGGCGGAGACGTGCCTGTGCTGCTCCTTGTACTTGATCATCCTCGTTTTCGCCCTCTTCAAGATTACCCTTCGCAGAAAGGACTGGGTGGATGTCGAAAGCTCCCACAACTCCAGTACTTCTGCCATAAGCTTGTCGAGGAAGACTCCCATCTCGTTTTGCGCCTCCTCTATGTCCAAGGACATGCATGGGATGTGGTTCAATCCTGCATTGATGATGCCCTGGGGCAGAGGGTTGTCCGTGATTGATGAGTCTAGTGTGATCACATGCATCTGCCCTTCGCACTGAAGCAGTTCAATCGAAGCTTGGTTGCGCATGTCCATGTATCTGCGCGATCTGCATGGACATTGCCCCAGATCATAGGCTTCCATCCATTGCGCCACATCGAAGTCGCAGAACACTTCCGCAGGCCTGCAAAGTCTGGACGCGATATTGGAGTTGTAGGTCCATCCGATCACGGTGCGCTCCAGCCAGGTAGCCGTGTCATCGCCCACAATCCTTGCTAGGACTTCATTGATCATCTTTCTAACGGATAGAGGCTCCATTACCCTGCTGGTGTACCTCAGATGAAGGAAAGTGTCACAGTCCGGTCTCTGTCTCCTCCATGTTCTTCGGCCGGATGGTAATGTGGCCATCTGTCCTGGGGAGTAGACGCCAGCGCCTGGATCCTGCGCTCAGAGGTCACACATATAGGACATGGGTTGTGCCGGATGGGGTAGTGAATCCCAGAGATCGAAAGGGGTGACGGGGAGCACGGGGGGAACGAGATCAGAGGGAAGGGTGAGGAGGGGAGAGAGAGAGCAAGAGAGAGAAGGAGAGAGACAGAGGGAAGGAGAACAAGGTGATACCGAAAAAAATAGAAAAAATAGAAAGAAATAAAGAGACACGACCCTTTCCTTACGTACAGGGTCAAGCACGTGCAGGTCGCGTGCTAGTGGCGGCACCGGTCCTGGTATTGCCTCTGCCTCTTGCGCCTTTCTTCCTGCCCTTCCTGGTCTGTGTGAGCGTCGACCGTGCCGAGCCTTCGGGCGAGAGAAGGATGACGGGTGGCGGGGTTAGCCCAGTGATCACCATACGTGGGAGCGGGGAGGAAAGGGTTTGATTTCTTGCCATCTGCAAAGGTGCGGCGAGTGGATTTGCCGCATGTATACCGCTAAGGTGATCATTGCCCCCGGTCCGTTGTAACCCAGAGACCAAGATCGTGGGTTGCAACTGCGTAGAGGCGATCGAAGCGGGAGGAGGGGGAGGTGGAGGAGGATGCGGAGGAGGAGGGGGAGAGTTGGAGGAGGAGGAGGTGGGAGGGGGAGGAGGAGGAGGAGGGGGCGGAGGGCCTGACGCAGGTGGGGAAGCCTCGGGTATAGGGGCTGCCCGTCGAAAGTTGAGCGTAGTCTAGCCCGGAATGTGCACGCCCGCATTCCTCTTTCGTGCCGCAAAGCGCAGAGAGCTGAGCGGGAATCTTGTGAGTTTTTCCGGGATTCGTGTGGGGAGCATGATACGTGCAAGTAGAGCAGGTACCAGATAGTTCCACAAACGATCATCCTTCAGCAGGCCTTCCGTGTCGAGAGTCGTATCAGTCTCAAGGTTCCTTGATGTATCCCATCATCAAATCCCTAATGAAGTGAAAACCAATGGCGGCAAGCACCCCCTCCCTCCACGAGGTTCTAAGGTAATGTATCAACATCGAAGTCCTGATCTTGATCGAGGACATGTCCGGGAACAATACGTCCGGGTGCGCAAGCAGGTACCAGAGGGCATGGTCGAACCAGAGAGGGGTGTCTCCACAGTCCTTATTCTTCTCCCTCTTGCACTTGCACTTGAGATAGGGCCTGCCTACGCTCCATATCTTCCTTACATTCCTAAGATCCAGTCTATCCTGCTGCCTGATCGCCTTTTGCCACATGCCGGAACTTGTGTCCCCGCATTTATCGAGATCGAACACGCGCATGGGTGGGAATTTGAGGTCCTGGGGATCTAGCGGCGGGACCCTGCCGAAGAATTTTAGTTTACCCTTCATCGCTTGCGTTCTACATTCCTTAACCTGCGCGTTCGAGATGTTTCCCATAAATTGGAGGGCTCTGACAGAGGTCGGTGCTATATGGTTAAACGTCTCCATTTTCCAGATTGCATGCCGAAAACCAGTGGACGTGTGTTCTACCCAGTATGTGGACGCAAGAGGGGCAAACGCAGTATATCGGTCCTGATCGGAGACATTGGCGTTTGCACGGCTGTCCGCGAGTGGGGAATCTCTGATGGCGGAGGCAATGGCAGCGATAGCCCGCTCCGTTTCCTCCCTCTCATCATCCTCTATAGCAAGATCATCGCATCTAGTGACCCGATTGCCTACCGTAGTGGGGGGCGATCCCCCTGGTGCATCGTGGATTCGCCCATCTAGGTGCGAGTCATCTACGCCCCATATCCTGAGGAGGATCCGCTCAACCCTGGCGGATCTCCCCGCCGGCTCCTTACATTCCCTAGCATAGTCCTGCTTCCTTAACTCAAGATGCTCACCCAGAACTCCCAGCTCATCATCGAAGTCCTGCTTGCTGCGCTCCCATGCCCCAGCGAGGACGGCGAAATCGCTGAAGCATAGCATCTCGAAGAAGTGTGCGAAGCGTCCGGTGTCACATGCATCCTTAATCGCGTCCATGACCCCAAGGTTGACGCAGGTCATCAAAGCCTGCGTGGGTTTTGAGGGCCATGCACAGTCCTTCAACCATGGGTAGCGGTGCGTCAGCTCGTTCCACCAGCCGCCCGGGAAGGATTCCTTTGGCGGCCGCTGCGGTGGTCCATCGAGAGGGACGTGACAGGGGGGCGGAGGGTAGGAAGTAGGTAGGTAAAGGGGATGGGAACAAGGAATCGGGTGATCAGGGGTGGGAGGTAGTCCGAAGAAGGCAACATCGAGGGGGGCTCATGAAGGAAGGATCGAGGGTTTGGGGACAGGGAAGGAATCACACGCGAGAGGACAGCAAAGATTCGTCAAAGCACATTCCCACCAGCTGTCCCCAAGATCACATCATTCCTCGCCACAACTCACGCCATATGCGGCCGTCTTCTTTCCGATATTATCCAGCCAGTCCCCCACCAGTGCTCAAACGACCCGGGCGTACCCCATAGCCACCGTCATCACCCCACATCCACGCGGGGGCGTATAAGGAACGCATATCGCTTCACGGTGCGGTCGGGGGGGACACCCCCCGGCAGCGATCGAGGAAGCACGTCCTCCTATGTGTGTAGCATGTGTACGTCACATGCGCTTCGCATGAGTACGACACGTCATACTCATGCTACTCCGACTAAGAAACGTCGGCACACCGTGAGCAAAGATCAAGACGCGGGAGGCGATCTTCCAACGCGGCGGGGTAAAACCAACTCAAGGTTCGCATGTGGCGAGGGCAATAATGGGGGCTTTTATCGGTTGAAGTAGGCCACCCTTCGCGTTTCGATGGTGACTCGAGGTGAAGGGGGGTGGGGGTGCCTCGTACTTCAGCGGGTCCAAAAAAACTCATCCCCACAGAGAGCAGAGAAAAGGTCGAAAGCATGCGACAGACTGAAAAGACAAGACCATTCACCATTTCCAAGGCATCATTACATGTTCCATCGAGTCATTCCATCAACCCATCAATAAAAAGACTTTTAACGGCAACCCGCCGCCAACACTGATTTTATAAGGGAACTTAACTCCAGAGATCAACACGCCAAACAAGTAAAAAAAGAGGAAAAAGGAAAAAAGGAAAAAAAGGAAAAAAAGATAAAAGATAAAAGAAAAAGGATAAAAGAAAAAAGAAAAAAGAAAAGGAAAAAGAAGAAATACAAAGGCACTGAGATTTGAGAGGCGACAGCATGCAAGGAAAGATCGATCCCCGACAGAGCATACATTGATGACAAATACCCGCAAGCCATATCCTGTTGCATTCAACCAATCCATAGAGACAAGCCGTCCGAGAAGATCGTAACAGAAAAAGGCAGTTCAAGCAATTAAGCGAACGACGATTTAGATCGAAGGAGAGAGGCGAGGAGAGGGGTAAAAAATTGAAGGAGAAAATGAKCTTCACACGAAGATAAAATTCCAAGAAAACAAATCTTTATCAAAATCGTCCAATTAGCAACGAGCATGCTCCCACTCCTTGATGTCGAAAACTCACGCGACCCCTGCAGGGAAGGGGAAGGGGCGGGGGAATAGCGAGGGCTGGCGAGGGGGAGGGGGGAGGGGGAAGGGGGGAAAAGGGTAAATCCCGCTTCAGCTCTATCCTCCAGATCTAGCGCACTCTGCCTCTGCAGGGATCATCTCGCCAAATTGAGGGAAGGGCGTGGCAACTCCCTAAAGCGCTTTTCTGCCCCATGCCACGTGGGGCGTCATCAGAGGGAGGGACAACTTCCATGGTCTTTGGAAGGCGGGGGGGATGGGGAGGTGGTGGGCTTACGGGGAGGGTAGCAACGGGACAAGGGGGGTGGAGGGGCGTGGGTTTGGGCGAAGGGGAGTGGGGGGGTGAGGTGGGTGGAGGGGTTAATCGCCGAGGGGTACGGGAGGGAATGGAGGAAGTACAGGAAGGAGAGGAAGGAGAGGAAAGCGATGAAGGCAAGGAAGGCGCAAGCCGAGGTCTCAGTTGCTGATCTGTGCTCCATCGCCACCCGCGATCGCAGCACCGCTCTTAAGTTTAATGCGTCGGCAATCCTCCAGCGCCTATGATGAAGAACAAGCAGCGGCAGCAGGCGAGAAAAAGGGTTGCGAAGTAGATGGTGCCTCCGAGCAGGAACGCAAAGCGTCTCGTCGTCAGTCGGAGAAAAACTCCTTCAGACAGACACGCGGTAAACAAGGCGCAGGCTACGGCGAGGTTGGGTGCCAGGACGAGGAGGAGGAGAAGCAAGAACGCGATATCCCGTGCGGGTGCGGGCGCTATGCTGGACAGGTTGGGATCGGCGGGGCAGGTGGGGGAAGGCTGCATAGCGCTAGCTCCAGAGCGCTCCGAGGGACTAAGGGAGTGCCGCTTCACAATGTCGTTACCACTTCCTCCTCTTCCCGCTGCTCGTCTTCCTCGTCCCAATCGGCGAAAAAGTCCATGTCGCTCGACGCTTCGAGTGCTCCCCACGCAGTCCCCGATAGACCAACCGCCTCGTGAACCGTGAAAGTTGTCGATCGTGTGTCAGCTTGATGAATAGAACACCCTGTGTTCTATTCTGATATAGTCCGAAGCATGCCCAGCATCCGCAGCCTTCCGATGCAAGCTATCGTTCCTAACCCGCTATTCCTACGTACTTATCGGACGGTCACGAACGAGGAAAAAAGGAAAAAGAAAAAAGGAAAAAGGAAAAAAAGGAAAAAGAAAAAGAAAAAGGAAACAAGAAAAAAGGAAAAAGAAAAAAGGAACAGGGAGAAGGAGAAAGGGAAACGGACAAAAGAACGAAGGAAAAAGGAAAAAGGAAGGGGGGAGGACATCAGGGGTGACCTGGTCCGAGCGCCCGGAACCAACTACGTCCTACCTAAACTCCCAGGCCCGAGCATTTATTCGACCCTTGTCCTTATTCGCCAAGGTCCGAGAGCGAGCCGTTCTCGTGATCCTCTGTCCGCCGATTTCGGCTGCTCAAGGGTACATTCGGGGTTTATTTCCCGGTTTC